CGCGGGCGCGCAGCCGGAGGGCCGGCGCGAAGGGAGCCACGAGGCAGTCGGTGCGTCCACGCGGCCCGGCCGGCCCCTCTCTGCCCCGTTGCTCTCGGTGACCCAGACCCGCTCCCCCCACCACAGCGGGAAACCCACTTCGGGCGCATTCCTGGCCCGCAAGGCCTCCAGCTGCCTGACCCATGGGCAAGTCCATCGGGCGTGGTCTCTGGGCACGTTCCACGCAGCCTCTGGGCTTGGGGCCAAAGCCCTCGGCCCTGGGCTCACAAGAGAAAAGGGTGGCAGGGACCTGGAACACCCCCCCCTTCGGCTACAGTGTGGGGGATTCCCAGAGCGCCCCGGCCCCGCCAGGCCCACCCATGCAACACAAACGCCAAGGCCTCCCTCCGCCATACACAGAACGGGCGTCCCCCTCGGCCACCCTCCTGGGGCACAGGCATGACCGGCTGGCGCGCCGGGTTAGGGGCACGGCTCTGCTGGTGCCCCTGATCGGAACACCCCCCCCTTCGGCTACAGTGTGGGGGATTCCCAGAGCGCCCCGGCCCCGCCAGGCCCACCCATGCAACACAAACGCCAAGGCCTCCCTCCGCCATACACAGAACGGGCGTCCCCCTCGGCCACCCTCCTGGGGCACAGGCATGACCGGCTGGCGCGCCGGGTTAGGGGCACGGCTCTGCTGGTGCCCCTGATCAATCTGCCCGAGCGAGCCACTGAGCCTGGGCCCTGGTCCCCCACCCTGCGCCCCCTGGGGCCAGCGCCCCTCCCACAGCCCATTCCTGCACCAGCGTCCTGAGCAGGGGAGAGGCCCGGGGGTCCATGCCCTGGGCCAGAGTGCAAGGGACCCCCGGGGGCCAGCGGCCCCCCAGATACAGCCATTTCCGGGGTGCAGATGCCTTAGGCTGGGTGATGAAGGAGGCTGCTGCCATTCCCCAGTGCCCGGCCTTCCCCTCCCCTCCCCTGCCCAGCCCTGCATCACCACCGCACTGCACCCGGAGCCAGGCACCCCCTGGCTCCATGC